AAAATATTAAAACATAAGTTTATTACCTCAAAAACTAATACTCGGTATAAAATTGCAATTCAACTAGGTATAGGTAATTGGTGCTCTTTTTCAATCAGCTTTTCTACTTCCGAAATCTCACTTAAGATGGAGGACAAAAAATTGCTAATAAACATGCAACAAGAAATAAGACAGCAGAAAACAGAAATGTTAGAAATGAAAGAAGACATTAAAAATACAATCAACAATAATATACTTAAATGAGAGATTTAAACACTTAGAAATAAAAATTGAAGTTCTTGAGAAAAAAAATCCAGGAACAAAGTACCTCAATAAATAATTTAGAAAGACATATTAGGCGCAAGAACTTGGTTATGTTCAGAGTAGAAGAAGGTGAAAAATCCTATCATGAACTAGAGGAAAAAATAGTCTTAAACAAACGCAAGGAGTTACAAACCCAACTGAAGATAAAGAAAAAGACCTAGGCAAAACAGCTTTCTTTAAATATGACAAACTAATTATTGTGGATAATAATAAGAACACTTCTCACCAATACTCAAATAAAAGAAGTCTGCCTGTATCTCCAGAAACGCCTTACCTCAATTATAAACAAAAACTAACAAATAAACAACATACAAAGAAAACCATACCTGGTAATATTAAAGACTTTATATTAAAAAAAAACAAAATTAACTTTCAACCACACAAATGATAACCAGGAACAACTAAAAACAACACTGCAAGATACAGTTTATTAAACACAGTAGGAACCTCCTCATCTTTATCCCCCAGTATGGCCGGTCACCATAGGGGAGTTCGACCATAACCCTCCAAAGAAAAACAGACATACAATGAACAAAGGATATCTTCACCAGAAAAACTTCTAGAATTAAAAGCAGTATTTCCTACAACAAATCAAAAGAACACAAAGTTAAAATTATAAACTTGATAGGCATATCAGAAACAAATTATATATTAAAAACAAAATTTGAAAAGAAACCCTTTGCAATCATACAAGCAAAATCTCCAACGGAGAGCTCTATGCAGGACTACTTTGGAGTTAACCGAGAGGGGTCTATACATGAAAAAGACATTTACTAAATAAATACATTTAAATATGAAATTAAATACCTAATTTATAACTATTGTCAGAATTAATATATGGAAAGAAATTTTATTTATATTTATTATTGTGAAATGTTTAGTATTTACTCAATTGAATTATTTAATTTATTGTCATTGTTTATTTATTTGTTTGTTAATGATAATTTATACATATACAATATAATTTCAAATAATATTAAAGATTTTTAAAATAATTTAATTCCAGATTACAAAATTATTAGTTAAAAAATTATAAGTTAATAAATAGCCACTAAATTATATAATTTTATATTTCAGCAATGTGATATAGACATTTTTTTTATTGTACAACTAAAATGGCTCCTTATATACTCGTAACCACATAAAATTTTAATGGAATACTTTTATAAAAAGCTGTGCATACTTTTAAATTAAATTTTGCAATTCAAATAGGTAAAATTATAATGTTAAATAAATGTTTTTATGTAAATTTCGTTAGTAAGCCTTTATAATAAATAAATGAATAAATAAATAGAGCTTTATTATTATTATTTCTTTTGCATTATTTCAATAAATTAATAATTCCACGCAAAATATTATGTTCGATAATTTCGCACGCTCAGATATAAGCATCATGGTCAAGCGGCCAATGCGCAAGTTTGACAACCACAGGTGTCTGGGTTCATATCCCGGTCAGGCACAAAGTTTTTAATTTTGTTTTTTTTTTTGTATTTATTCAAATTCTTAGTTTGTTTTTTTAATGTTTTTTTTCTGGCCAAAAACTCCGAGCAAGGCTCGGTCGCCCAGGTACTATATAAATATATATATATATATATATATATATATATATATATATATATAGGCAGTGGTAGCCCAGTGATAACGCGCTTGCTTGGGAAACCGAGTGAAGCGGGTTCAAATCCCGGGTCTCGCACCTCTGATATTTTCATGTGCGAATCATTTCTAACATGATTACCACTTGCCTTACGGTGAAGGAAAACATCGTGAGGAAACCTGCATGTCTGAGAAAACCTTGCAAGTTTTCGAAAGACATGTGAAGTCCACCAACCCGCACTTGGCCAGCGTGGTGGACTATGGCCTGATCCCCCTCGTATGAAGGGAGGCCCGTGCCCAGCAGTGGGGCGTTAAAGAGGGCTGAATACATACATACATACATATATATATATTTCTGTTCTGTTGTTTCCATCTACATAAAACAGTTTATTCTTGGAAAAGTAAGCTTAATAGTATTTCCCATCGGCGGCGATACCTTACATATTTCTAACTTTAAAAAATACCTACTTTTATACAAAAATATTATACGCCTGTAAGGGATTCTTTAATTGATCTATACTAATATTATAAAGAGGTAAAGTTTGTGAGTTTGTAGATTTGTGACGTTGTAGAGGGTAATCTCTGGATCTACTGAACCGATTTAGATGAAATTTGGTAAGAAGATAGTTTGACACCCTGGGAAGGACATAAGACTTTTTATCCCGGAAATAATTACTTAAGGGGGTGATAATGGGGCTGAAAGTATGTATTGGGAAGCGAGGGTGAGTCGCTAGTATACATATAAATAGGCAGAGAAAAATCAGTTGAGTTCCTGTTTGTCGACCGATTTTCTTAATTTTTTGTTTAGTAGCTATTGATGAGTTTTAGTGTTATCAATAAAAAAAATTGGAGACATTAAGATTTTTTTTAAAAGATAGGTAAATATTATTCATATTATATTATATTATGTTTCTCTTAATTTCCGAAAATGATTATGATCGAATTTCAGCCCCCGAGGGAACACTAGTTGGTTATAAGTGATTGTCTATCAGTGAGTCTGTTAAGTAGATAATAAATTTTTTTTAACAATTATATAGACAGATAAATAAAATTGAAATGTCTGTTGGTTGTGATGTCAAAATAACAGCTTTTTAATAAATGTATATGAAATTATATACGGTACCTATAAGAAAACACAACTTTTAAAATGTTCGTCTGTCTGTCTGTTTGTTTCGGCTAATCTCCAAAACGGCTGGACTGATTTTGATGGGACTTTCACTGGCAGATATTTGATGTTATAAGGAGTAACTTAGGCTACTTTTTTTTGAAAAGGAATTAGGGTACAACTCAAAAAATTAAAACGTACCTAGGGATGCACCTGAGCGAAGCGAGTGTAAGTCGCTAATAATTACATAAAATCTCTATGGTCATTATGGCTTAGTATTTTAATTTTTTAACAGCCTCGATGAAGGTGATTGCAACTATCGGAATCAATTAGTAACCAGCGAGGATCAGATCGGAATCAGTTTGTCTCATTCTTCGGAACTTGATATACAGCGTGTTTGTTGTTTTATGAAGGCTTTTTTGTATTTTGAATAAAGTATTAATTTTTTTAAAGATTTTAAATATATAACACTAAATTAAATCATTATAAGTTTGTCTGTCACGAATTATTCGTTGATAAATAAAAGATCTTAGCATTATTCAGTTTTTACAGTAAATGTTTATAAGTCCTAATATTTTTTCATGTATAGATATTTTTACATCTCTTCTTTCTACCTACATTAAAACAATGCATGCTGAGAGATGATTAACATAGTAAATCATATAAATGTTTGCTTAGTACGGGAAATGAACCAATTTCCTATGATACAAGAAATTTAAGCTCTGGTAATACTTGAATACGGCTGTACCTAACACAGAAACGTAGCCACGTGTAAATATTGGTCCTAACGCAACGCACATGAGTTAAAGTAGACGTTTTTTTAACATAAATTTAAAATATCTACAGATATTTTTTATGGTTTCAAATAAACTAAAAGAAAACTAAAGATGTAGTTTTTAAAATACTATTCTACTTCACTTCAGTTTGAGGTTTCAAAGAAACTCTTCATAAAGAAAACGAGCTACTTTGACGTAAGTGAAGCTTTTCCTGTACTTTTAGTAGCTACTAAAGATTAGAATATATGAATAGCATTTCTTCTATCGTGCAATTTTGATAATATAAAAATTATAGAAATAAATCATATATTATATATTCTTGATACATAATACTGTATACGTCGTTTTTTCGTGACTGTACTAAAAGCACTCGACATAATATGGCATATGGCCTCCCGATCTTACACGTATAGCGTTAAATATACATATTAGAGAAAATTCAAAGCCAAGCACATAGACAAGCAAACAAAATTTTTATGTACAAATCTACAAGAAAATATTTTTAAAATTATTTAAATATTATAAACATTCCAATTTTATAGTATGTATTTTATTTATATTGTTAAACAAGTAAGTCCGTCATTTTCATTTAAAATAAACGATTGTTCGAAAGAATTCTTACTAAACAAGCCGTAATTAAACTTTGACAAGTTCTCGATGGTTCTGAGTGAATTGTATCGGCGCTGGTTTATAAATTGTTTTGAAATTTTACCACTTCAATTTGTCTTAGCTATCATGTTTTACATTTAATCAGATGGCTGTTATAAAGGTGGATGTTTTTATGTGTGTGTGTATGTATGTTTGTTACCCTTTCGAGCTTAAACAGTTGAATAGATTTGGGTAGAGTTTAGTACAAAGATAACGACTTGGATTAATACTAACTAGAAATTACGATAACTAAAAATACATCCAAGAGAAGCAAGTATAAGTTACTAGTTTAAAATAATAATAAGTTATTGTAATAATATAATCGAAATATTTTAAAAAATTCTAATAACCAGAAATACATCATCTAAATAAAATGTAACACAAAATGATCAACCTGTATACAGTGTTTTCAGTTCCACACTCAGGTTGCGCATTGCCTAACGACGGAGCAAAGGATTTATTACAAGTAGTTATTTAGCCTAGAGACTACAGCCTAGGACCTATAAAAGGGCTGCAATCTATTCATACACACAGTCTATTTAGTTCGCCGATACAGTCACATTAAACAATACAAAATGCTTAAATTGGTAAGTTATTAAATTTATTATTATTATTATTAATTTAATTTTAATAGATTTTTTTAAATATATAATTTAGGTTTTTAAAAGAAAAGTGGGGTAGTTGATACGTAAAATATATTTACTTCATAAATTAATTATGTTTAGTAACAAAGTCTGAAATAATTTAATACACAGACAGACCTTTTTAAGCACAAAAATTCTAAACACTTTAATCATATTGGCTTAGATAGCGATAGGATAAAGCGAATGGAAACTAAAAATTTATGGGAGTAACTCATTATAATCTCTTATTGCTTAAACAATATTTATCTTATTGAGTCACACACATATTTAGTTTTGTATTACTTAGGTAATAATTTATGAGATTGACGTGAATATTCCCCCGTCTCCCCCTAGACCATGATTGCCGTAAAACATCCGAAACATCGGGAACGAAAAATCAAAAAAAAATCCGAAACGATAGTTTAATTCAAAATAGCTCTAAATCCATAGTTTAAGCCGTACTATGTCTATTATATTACGGATATCTTTAATTTTATTAAAAAATTTAAAATATTTGAAAATCTATATACATAAAAATCAATTGCTGTTCGTTAGTCTCACTAAAACTCAAAAACGGCTGAACCGATTTGAATAATTCTATTTTTGTTTTGTTGGAGGTATATCAGGGTTGGTTTAAATATAAAAAAAATTAGGAAAACCCCAGAAGAACAGCTGGAAAATCGAAAAGTTCAGGACTGGTTATTTTGTATGGGAATCAGCACTTCGGATTACTTTCAATAGTGGTGGACCTACCATCTATAACAACAATACGTCAAGTTTAAGTTAGAAAAAAATAATATATGTATATGATGATGATGCTCTCCTAGCCGATTCCGGCCACGGCGGCCAATCTCAATGAGATTAGCCAACTGCGCAGGAGATATTATAGTGCTCAAGTGTACGCGCAGACACAAGTGCACTCTCTATTCCTATCACTCTCATACTCCGGTGGGACGACCACTCGACACGACCGGTGAGAGTTAAGCCGCAGGACCGACGGCTTTACGTGCTCTCCGAGGCACGGGGGTGAAACATCGCCAACTTCCCAACTCCGGGCTGTTACTGAGACTTACTATACAGGAAGACTCAATAACTAAACTTGGCCCGACCCGGGACTCGAACCCAGGACCTCAGAAAATGCAGCCGTATATGCTAGCCACTACACCACCGAGGCAGTCAATAATATATATGTATATAACAGTATATAGTCTATCTGTTCTATACTAATCGTTAAAACGTACCAACCGTATCGTTTTAAAATTTTTAAACGCTTTACAGTATTTGCCAGATATAGACTCAAAACTTTAATAATCATAATTCCTGTTTCTATAGTCGTTTGATAAAAGAAATATATTAATACAGTGAAAAGCTTTTTATTATTATTGCTATTATTAAATATTAAATATCCTACTTCCAAATGCTTTTCTAAATTATAATATAATTTAAAATTTATCAATCACTTGGTGTCAGCGCAGTACATCTTCCTTACTGCTGATAGGATTTGGCAAAACTTTAACGACCGGCCGCCTGCCTTGGGAATGATTCTAGTAGCTTATATCAGTTTAGAATTTTATTAAAATCGATTTAACGCTTTTTATTTTTTAGAAATAAAATATAAATCGTCGTTCACGCCTAAATCCTCAGTCAAGTCTTATTGAAGAAGAGTAGTAAAGAAGCGGAAATCCTACCTATAACTTATCCAAAAAAGTAGAGTACGTTTGTAGAAGTTAGTACAAACAAATAAATACACAGATAATATTGTTTAAGCGATTTAAACAATCGCTTTGATATACTTATTGTGCAAATAATGTGGTAATTGTTAAATATTACTTAAATATGTTATGTTTAACATATATTTTACAGACGATTCTCCTCGCTATCATAACTTTCGCATATGGTGGTGTGATTGCACCCATCGTACCAGTAGCCCACCATGTGGTCACCCACCCCGTGGTCCACCATGTAGCACCAGTGGTCCACCCAGTAGCCGTGTCCCATGCAGCGGTCCATCACGCGCCACTCGTGGCTCCAGTCGTGGTTAAACACCCTGTAGTGCCCATTGTGAAACATGCGCCGTTAGTAGCGGTCCATCATCATTAATTTATTTGTGTTGTGTGTTTGTTTGTCAATAAATGTGATTTTTTCTTATTACCTATATTATTTTATTTTGTACCCCATGTCATATAAAAATATGCTTAGTAATATTTCATTTAGTGTTGAGAACCTATATGTATATTTGTTCTAAAACTACAATGAAGTAATTAGAAACTTCTAATTAGCAATCTCACAAGATCGATAAGATTCTACATAATATATTGTTATTTTCGTTTAAGTTTTTACTAATATAAAAAAAAATACTAAAGTAGCTTAGAAAGGAAGGTATAATTATGTCTTCCAGCCCGATTTCGGCCACGACGGCCAATCTCACTGAGACTAGTCAACTGTGCAGGAGATACTATAGAATTCAAGTGTACGCGCAAACACAAGTGTACTCTCTATTCCTGTTATTCTCAAATTCCGATCGGACGATAATTCGACACGACCAGTGAGAAATCAAGCGCAGATTCAATTATAGCGTGCTCTCTGAGGCAAGGTGGTGAAACGTTGCCAACTTCCTCCCCAACTCCGCTGTTACAGGGAGTTCCTTAACAGAATAACTAAACTTGGCCTGCCCGACTCGAATCCATGACCCAACGGATATGCAGTCGGACATGCTAGCCACTACACCACCGAGGCAGTTATATAAGTCAAAGTAAGAAGTACAAATTCATACAGAAGTACTATTATCAGTAATTAGTGTTAATCAACACTACCAATTATAGTATTTCAATTTGAAAGGGAGCACTTAGTGTAAATTAATATTCCAACATTTCCATTCCACCTGCACACCGGCATTACATTTCTACAAAGGACTTTGTGAGATATATTCCATATATTGTTAAATTTTGCGTTATCAAAATAATATTTGAATATATGACAAATTATAGCAAAATATATTTAGGTAATATATCACCAAAGGACATTAGTACGAATTTGCTGCATTGCTATTTCATATTCCGACCGCGGATGTGATGTCAATGACACTGTGTTGTATCGAAATCAACTGTTAGGGTACATTCTGAAAAATTTCTTGTATTAACAACTCTAAGTAACCTTTTATATTAGAGCTCGCCAATCTACGTTTCTATTATATAGAGGTAAAGTTTGTAAGTTTGTATGTAGGTAGTAATCTCAGAAACTGCTGATCCGATTCTAAAAATTTTATCATTAATAGAAAGGAAGCTATATTTTAATCCCGATAGAGTATTGTTCCTGTTTGATAAGATATATAAAATAAAATTCGTGTACTATTTTCTTATATTTAATTTCATCCCCATTTTCACCCCGTTAAGGGACGATTTACGGGATGAAAACTATTATATGTCCTTCCCAGGGTCTCAAATTATCTTCTTACCAAATTTCATCTACATCAGTTCAGTAGTTTCGGAGCTAATTCGATACAAACAAACAAATGAAAAAATCTTTCATCCTTATAATATTAGTATAGATAAAACTAAAATAAGTAGTTTATAGGTCAGTTTTAAATATTTTCTTTCAAATTCATCACATTTTCATAAAATTTCCCGAACAACAAGACCAAAAATTCCTTAATCAAAAATACACGCAAGCTAAATAATTTCAAAAGTAGTTTAAAACTCGTAACATGGTTTATCTCTTCAACGTTGAAAAACAAAATAATTTATCGCGCAAGTATCTCCAAAGTGAAATAAGCTTTGAAAAGCGACAGGCTAGCTTGTAAAAGCTTTAGTACGAAGCTTACGTCGATCACGAGATGAATTGCGACTTTCGAAGGTTAACGAGGGTGTAGTAATAAAATGTCCAAGGATAAGGTAATAGTTCCCCATTACCTCATCCATGGAAATTTTACTATGTGAATAACATGGGACACTGATTAAGAACCATCCTTGGACATAACCTTGAGGTATAAGAAATCTAATCATAAATTAATGAAACAATAGGAAATATGTGTGATTTTTTCTTATTTATTTATACAATTGCTAACATCGTTATATAATTGTAAAAAAATATCCAGCTCCAAAAAACTAAAATTTTTTTTAAATATCATACCGATACGGATACTTTAAACAACCGCCTTTTTGCGCGCTTGGCGTGACGTCATAGTATCATACATAGAAAAATGGCGACTTTAGTTTGTATATATATGTATTGTTTGTATAATATGTTGTTTGTATCGCTCTGTTATGATAATACTTTAACGTTATGTTCGGTCTGACCAATGGCGTGCGTTTCAACTACTTTGAATTTATATATTTGCACTTTTTTATGATTATTATCTTAATTAAAAAGAAATTACATTAAATAATATAGGCTTAATTCAGAAGCAAGACAGATTATAAAAAAATATTTCACCTTTATTTAAATCACACCCATATTCCCAGTTAAAATGGAGTCAACCCCATATTTATTTATTTATTTATTTGCAAGATATGCCAACAATTGTACCTATATTCTAAATTATTATATTATAAGATTACTTATTCTAGTACAAGCATTAATTATAGGCATACACAGCATTAATTACATTTCCGGCTTTAAAACAATAATATATGAAATGTTAAATACAATTTCTAATAAATATATATAATAGATGAAATTAACTTAAAGAATAACACATATTAACTACTATAATTAAATTAATCATAATATAAATTAATGTTAAAATTAGAATAATATGTACAATAAAAATAATTATTAATATTTATAATTTGAAACTAATATACTTAAACCACCATAATACTATACTTAAACTACCATATTAAATATTTGCAATTTTTATTAAAAGTTCCGACTTCAAGAAGAGGAGTTACAGTTGATGGTTGTATGTTTTGCTATAAATAGTTAGTAAGTCATAATATACAAAAATATGTCGATCTGAGCCATTGCACTAAGAAGCATTTAAAGTGCCTAAAGACACAGGCGCTTTAATAATATAAGGGATAATCTTGCTAATATTATAAATGTGAAAGCTTAGACGTTTGGCTATTTGTTATTTTTGTATTTGTATTGTATTTGTTGTATTTGTTGCTGAACGGATCTGGCTGAAATTTGAGGCAGAGATAGATTATAGTCTGGAATAGCACAAAGGCTACTTTTTATCCCGAAAAAATGTACGGTTCCCCTGGGATAGATTTGTTTTTCAGTATAAATGTACATACCCCATATACACAGTTCAGTACCTTTTTCTCCTCTGTTTGTTGCATTATTTGTTTGTTTTTTTTTGTTTATGTTACGCGATATATATTTGATCCCTCTCGTAGTGAAGTGAGGCCCGTGCAAGTGGGACGTTAAAAAGAGGTGAATATGCGCTATATGTTCATAGCAATACGTATTATCAATTGTAAACCGTTTTTCATGACTTTTATTTTAATATATACCTTACCTTTTTTACCTTTACCTCAAAAAAAAGTACCTTCATGAAATAATTCTACCCATAAAATGAAATTTATATGATTTTTTGATTTTTGGAATACATTTTTAGTTAAAAAGTGATTATTCGTAATATTAGTATATGCACAAATCCAAATTTAAAGTGACCAGTCAGTGGCCGATTAAATTTTTAATGGCCTTTCACAACAAAATGAAGGATAAATTTTATGCATACAAAAACATATAGGTACATTATACAGAAGAGAAAACACGGATGAACTGATTTTCATAGGACTTTTACTCTCGTGTAGGATAGAGGGGATGAAAAGCAATTTTATACATATAATGATGGACGCGGACGATATCTCGTTGTAAACAATTAAAATTAAGCTAAAATAACTTAAAGCATTTTAGATAGCCAAAGTAATAAAAATAAACAGAAAGTGTTATATCTAAATCTATTTCAAATGGATATTAATTTAAGTCTTATTGAGTGCTACTGGCGTCTAAATTAAGACGTATTCATTAAGAATTCGCTTCGAATACGAATATTATTCTTAAAGGGTTTACTGGAAATTTTAAATAAAAATGCGATATTTGCAGCATTTAAAAACAGATATTCAAATTTTGTTAGGTCTTTCAGAATATTTCGTAAGACGAGGTAAACAATATCAATTGTGTCGAGTGTGGTACAGTAGATGTCTATCATGCATTAGAAGAATGTGATCCAGTTAAAGTTCAATAATCATTGATATGACCTCAATATGGAAACAATGTAGGATATAGTAAAAGTATTTTAGCCAATTTATATTATAGATTAAGCTTAGAAGTAAGTAATTTTGTTATTTATTTTATATGTACTTGTGAGCATGTACATATAAATGATGAGGATGACATATTCCTTTTGTGAAAAAACCTTATTTAAAAATAAAGAGAAAAAAAAACTTTATATAATTTTTCAAAATTCTATCTTGATTTCTACGCATAATTAACTTTCACCAACACCGACTTCTTTAAAATCACTTTGAAATACATTACTATCACTACTTCAAAATTACTTTTAAAGTATTTTTTCTACACTTAAGGACAGACATCTCTTTAAATTTGTATAGAACCGGATATGATAATTTTTATATCGACCACTTAGTTATTGTTAAACCAGGCTGCTAATATGAACTTGAAAATTTTTATGTCTAACGTCTATACGTGATTTGTTTCCTTTATGGTGAAACGGCTAGTTGGATTTGGATGAAGTTTAATATACAGACAGATTATGACTTGGAAACATAAGCTATTTTTAGGTACCTAGGAAAACATCTGAACGAAGCAAGCTTAAGTTGCTTGTAAAAACTAACTAAAACATACGTAGATAAAGCCACAAAAATAACTAGTATGTAATCTATTACATGGAATATTCACTCTTCACAAAACCCTCAATAATTCAAGGCCAAAACTATAATTTGGCAAAGTTATTTCTTCTTTTCTTCCCGAAAAGGCTGCCATTAAGAGGAGCAAAGTGTTTACGTATGGAAATTGAAAAGCTATTCGAATTTATTTGGGTCATAGATGTTGGTATGCTTAAAGAGTAGGTAAATGTATTTCTTACATTACTTTGTTATTGTTTCGATGAATTCTGACCCTATATATAT